ATTCTGGATTGTGGGAAACGGTATCTCGATCTCTCTGTCTGTACACACAAACTGGAAGATTGACAATAAAGTTGACTTTGACTTTAGAACCCAATTGACACATTTCAAGTTTTTAAATAACTCTACCTATGCAGGCTTGCAACGCTCTTGCAATCCTATCAGTAAGCCTAGGTTATACTCCATAAAATATATGGTCACAGACAACTGCGGCACATTTTACTTCTGTTATACTGTCAGCTTTGAGAATGCGTTCCACATACAGTATGCGCAGTAGATCGCTACAATACCATTATGATGAAGTATCTGTGTGGGCTGTTAGCGTGGTCACAACATATTGGCAGTACACAAACATAATCTTTATTATTATTACAAATGTTGTAATCACGGACGCGTTAAGTATAACTAGCTTTAAAGTGTGTTATTTATCCTTTACATTCTCTTTGGAAAGTAATTAAGACAACTTTCAATCAACCAAACTGCAGACATGAAACAGTTTGGCAGAACTAAGTGTGTCAGGTGGTTCTTTGCAAATCAGCTTTTTGTCCTTCAAACCCAAAGTTAATAACAACTTTACTGCAGCCATTACAGGACATTAAAGGTGAAACCTGAGTGCCGCTGTGAAAATCAGGGCAGGGGAGACCGGCCTGAGCTAGCACCGAAAATGGATCTCTCGCCAGGGAAAAGATTGCATGTGGTGCCTTATTATTATTATTATTATTATTATTTGATTAGGTGAAAAATGCTTTGTAAAGCATTTATTGCAGTGAGAGACCAAAGCATATGAATTTCTCACTGGGATAATGTGCAGCAGAGCTCCTTCCTCTGCATGTTGTCTCTATAAATATTCAGACCCACGGTCCAGGGGTCATGTTGGGCGAGAGGAAAGCAGTGGTTATTCAAACTGCGTTTTGCTGGAGTGTTGCAAAAGGTTGATACGGGTCATGTTGACTGAGTGACCCTTCAGCTTGCCTCTTTTCTTCTGTACATAATATTTAAAAGTATCCTCTATTTTACCTTTCTAAACCTTGCATCCCTTCACTTTTTCTATATTGGTCCCAATTTGCTTCCTGTCTTCCTTTCTTACCTCTAGGGGTAAAATCCAATCACAGAAGAATCTTTTGAGACACAAGATTCCTATCTTCTTAGATCCTATAACAATTTACAAAATAAAAATGTGATTCTTTGTAACGTTTCCACAGAAGAACGTAGATATTTTATTGATAGACAGTAATCTACACACCAATTCAAAGTTGGGTCAAGCGTTTGTTGAAAAATATTATTGCTATTATTAATGTTATTTTGTGTGCAGTTTATTTAAAATATCAAGAAAATATGATAGTGCAATTGGAAAGTGTTTGAGAAATTAAAAGCTAGTTGGCCTTAGCCTAACAATTTTATTCTGCAACAGCCGTTATTTGTATTGCTCGTAGAATGTGACCTTGTTATTTTTGAAGTCAGATAAATACAAAAAATATAAAAATGTAGGGTTATAAAACTATTTAATCTGAACAAATAATATTTGAATTTACTTAACCCTAGTTCCCTATTTGCGAAAAAGCCTTACACTGTGTTTTGTACCTCCAGAGCTTTGGAAAACACCTTCAACTGATATCAAAAGCTTTTAGGTCACTTATTGAGAACATGATTCACAATTTGGTGCCATTTGTAGTTTCTTAGAATCTGCTCTTTGTTGAATATCCGTCCTTTCATTCCTCCCTACCTCTGTCCTTTGTCCCTCCCTCACTCTGCTTTTTTCCCTTTCCATTTCGTCTAACTCCCACCTGAAAGCCGGTTCAATTAGCCATCTGCTCGCCTGGCCCCAGCAGCAAAAGCAGTGTGACCGGCCACTCTGATGGTGTGACCCCGGGGATCAGGTCAGGTGAGTGGGCTGCAATCAGACCCTTTGATTACTCCCTTAACCACGGCACAGCAACACTTTACCACGGGGTTACCACTGCACCTATTAACCTGTTAGTGTGCACAGCCGAGGAAATTGGATGCTGCTGAAGGAAGGATTTGATGTGGTGTTTTCTAATGGAAATCATGTCATGTGCGCCCTTCAGGTGCAGCAAAATAAGATCTAGAGGTGGTCTGTGTGGTTACAGACATCAAAGTAATCAGCAGCATCGAGATTACCTTCTTTCTCTCTCAGAGCCTCACACTTAATTGTCTGTTACCTGAGACTGTTTTTTGTTATCCAAACTCATTGGATCAAGGTGTCTTTTCACATAATGGGAAACACTTGGAAATATCTCAAACAGGAATCAGTGTACCTCAGTGTTTACTTCCTTGTGATAACAGGGCCAACAAGAACAGACAGCAATTAGTAAGACCCCCTGATTATGCTTTTAATTGTTTTTTGTCACTGCAATCTTTACCGTTGCATGTATTTTCTCCATTAAGGGGATTATTTGAATGCTCTCAGCTAATTATAATATTATAGATAAGACCAACGTTCCCTAATGGCTTTGTGATGATAATGTAAGCAATATTACAGTCAGGAAAGCTACATGTCAGCTGATTTTATATAATAAGCTTACATGGTTCTAAAGAGAGATTTTATAGCCAACTGTGTATAAAATATTCCTCAGAGTTAAAGAGAGCTCACATTAGGCCATTAAGCCAAATGCAATGTAAATGAATGCATTTGAGAAAGACACAAAACAAAAAAACTTACGATGCCATTTTCCTGCCATAATGCTGGGATTTATGGGGCTGCTGTGGACCATTTCAGCTCTACTTTGGAGTCAATTACACTAGGCTGCACTCCAATGGGATAAATGAGCCTACAGAGGGAAAGGATGTCAGTGGAGGGGCTGATGAAAGGAGGGTAAGATCTCATGGTTGCAACACAGATCTTCTTCTGATCAGTGCAGTGTGAGATTTCACTGAAAACCTTTGAATATGTCCCGAAAAAAAGAAATCCTGCCTCTACACCAGGGCTGTCAAACTCAAATACACAGTGGGCCGGACTGGTTCAATGTTTATTCCAAAACTTATTGCACATATTAAACCTGGGACTAACAAAGCTTAAATGATTGCCTATAAAAACAACATTAAATAATCAGTTGCATTCATTTCTTATGGCTCTATCTGCAGATTTGCCGGAGTCATTTCTTATGATTACATTTTTCCACAGGCAAAAAAACAGCTTCAAAAAAAATATTTCCGCAAGAAAAAAAATGCAGAAACTCAGTGTGCTGCTCTGTGATGCTAGTTCAAGCAGATACTTGGCATCTCATCTTGGGTGCAAGTTCATCAATGTTTGGGCTCAGGCTCTGAGCTGAGGAGACCCTCAGGATTGAGTGAAGGTGCAATATACCGGCGGGCCAGATCTAACAGTAATTAGAAATTATCCTGCGGGCCGAAATTAAATCCACCAAGGGCCTGATTTGGCCCCCGGGCCTTGAGTTGGACACATGTGCTCTACACTGTTCTTTAAGGTGATGCAAGAAATAAAGTGTTGTGTCTCGTCAAATGTGTTAGTTGTGTTCTGTCATTTCCTGTTTTATTTTGTACTTACCTCTTGTCTTTCATTTCAGGCCCTGTTTCTTCCTCCCCTTGTGTGTTTTTCCCGCCATCACCAGTGTCTGCCCCGCCCCTGATTGTTTCCACCTGTTCCCACTCACCTCATGTTTAAATAGTCCTTTCTCTCCCCTGTCCTGTGTCAGTTCGTCTTGTTTGTTTCCCCGAATGGTCGTGCCAAGCCTCAGCTCAGAAAGGATCGCTTTCACTCGTGTCAGGTTTTGTTGTTTTGTTAAATTTTGTAGGCTTAAGTTTCTTTCTTAAGTTCTCTTTTTGTTACGCATAGTTTTTCGTCCTTGTGAGTGCTTTTTGTTAATTCAAGTACCTACTCTGTTAAAAGGAATTTCCTGATCTTTGAAATTAAAGATACTTTTTTTACATTTAAGACTTTGTCTCTGGGTCGTGCACTTGGGTCTATCAGTTTGTGTCGAGGTCCTGACATATACAGTAGATGCTCATGGAGTTTAAACGAATGGTGTTTCACAGGAACTATAGTGGTTGTTCGGAGTATTTATAGGAAGAACTGGAACGTTTTATAAGCAGCGATAACCGGATTGACGGAAAAGTTAATACAAAAAGTATTACATTCGAGAATTCAGATGGCAACTTTGACAAACTAGCAAAGAGTGAGTGGAAAAGGGCTGATTAAATATCTTCAGGACTGAAGCCACCGTGGGCGTCTAAGGTCAAGTTTTTGGGCTGATGAGGAATGGAAGTGGTGGGCGAGGCAGTGTTGATGGGGAGAGGAGGGAGAGTCTGAGGACGCCTGGTGATTGGACGGGAAATGGCAATGATTGGAGTTGAAGAATGTGTCAGATGGAAAGGCCGTGACAAACTATATAAAATGTAAACAGTATACAGTTAAAGGATAGTGATTGAGGAGTTTGATAGAACTGGGTTTTCATCAGGCTGATTCGGTGAAAAGTGAAGGTGGTACAAAGCATTATGGGAATTTTCCTCTACTACTTGAATTCAGACCATTCTTTTTAGAAGTTGGACTTTGGGTAAAACAGGCTTATTTGCTGGCTTACAGAAAAATAAGAAGATTCATACCACTCGTGTTTTTACAGTTAATTTGAATATAGCT